GAACTTTCGGACCGGCGCAGTATTCCTTAAATCATAATATTAAGCTCCTTATAATTTAAGGCATATTCCTTAATTAAGAAATATTGGTTTCTCTGGGGATGCATCCAAGGAGCATTTTGGTGGCTCCATGCATCGCACTGCAGTCTGAGTGACCCAGGACCAGAATCAGAGAGGTCTCCTCGGTTGCCCAGTAGCCCCCAGAGATCCCAATACCCCTTAATTAAGGAATATACCTTAAATTAAAGTGGCCTAATATTATGATTCAAGGTATATTCCTTAATTAAGAGGTCTCCTTGGTTTCCCAGTAGCCCCTTAATAAGAAGGGCACCCTTTTTCCCACTATTCGGCTTTAATGAAGGAGCCCGAAAAGAAAAAGGGCAAAAACCTAAACCCTAAACCCTAAACCTAGTAAAGGAACCCAAAAGGAAAAATGGCAACACCCTAAACCCTAAATCTAATAAAGGAACCCACAAAGCAACAAGGGCAAAAGGGTACCTACTGGGCAACCGAGTCTCTAATTTCGAGGTGCAGAACTCAAGACTCCCGATGACGCTGCTCTCGGCTTGTGAGCAAGTGTTGCCGGCATTCCTTGGTTCGAAAGGTGTCGAGTTTCGGGTTCTATCTCCATAAACCCCAAGGTGTCGAGTTTAGGGTTTAGGGTCTAGGGTTTATTTTTGTAAACCCCAAGTTCGAAGGGGTTTGGGTTTAGGACCTTTTCCTATTCTATGAAACATAAAGTGTTCCTGGGTTCCAACCCAGTCAGGGTTTAGGGTTTATGATTTAGGCCTAGTCCTCAATCCTTTTCCGATTCCTCAATCCTGAAGAGGAAACATAAAATAAAAAAGTTAAAGGACACTAATTACGGCGCGCCATGTACAAAAACCTTGATCGAACCCAAGTTACGCCCCGCAGCCCTGCATTCCTAATGGTCGACCCCTCAAAGCCGTAAAGGATCAAAAGGATCTCAACATCCTAAAATAATTAGCCCTAAACCCTAAACCCTAAACCCTAAACTCCAAACCCCTAAACCCCAAACCCTAAACCCTGAAACCCCAAACCCTAAACCCTAAACCCTTGCTAAGCCCCTAAACCCTGAAACCCTACACCTTGAACCCCTAAGCCCTATAAACCCTAAACCCTTAC